ACGTCCGTATCGTTTCCGCGGCCATGCACTGTTATCTCTACATTTCCAATACCATTTATTTTTGTCGAATTATTATTCGCTAGATTTAGTGTTTGGTCCACTGTACACATCGCTTTAAAATAGTTTTTATTTGCACTCATATGTGATGTGCAGCCACTGTCTAAGCACCACCTCGTATTACCGTCGGGACACAAAAACACTGTTTCTGTTGTTGTAAAACAAACATTCGATTTTTTATTGCTGTTCTCTTCAGCATTCTGCACTGTCTGAGAGTTTTTATTTTTTGCTTTGCAGTTTCTCGCGTAATGTCCATTTCTACCACACTTGAAGCAACCACCACTATTTTGTTTCATTCTCTGTTGTCGCGATTTTTGTTGTTGCTCTTTCTTTGCATATAACGCATTACACTGATCTTTATTGTCTTCTTTTGATTTTCTCGATTCGGATTCTTCAATAATTTTAACACGGAGAATTTCTGGTTTTGGTAATTCGTCACGCGTTTCCACCGCACACCGAAAAGTTTCATATGAGTCTGGAAGACTATACAAAAGTAGAATTGCCAAAAGCTCGTCACCAATAGGGACACCAATTTCTTTTAGTTTGGCTACTGCATCAAAAAAGTCATTTAAATGAGCACGCACATTTTCACTCTCGCGCATTCTTGATAGCGCCACTCGCTTTAATAGTGTAGCCTTTCTGGCGGGGCCTTTCGATTGGTAGGTTGATTCTAATCGTAACCACATTTGTCTTGCCGTGTGGCACTCTGCAATCAAACCTAACTCTGTTGGGCTCATGGCAAGCATAATATCTGCTGCCGCTTTCTGATCCTGCTTTGACCATTTCTCTGCCTCAGCAGTCTCCGTTGGACACTTAGCACTTTCGTCGACATATGACCACAAATCATTTTTTATTAAAATTGCACGCATTTGCATTTTCCACGTATCATAATTTTCCGCGTTTAACGGCTCTATACGCACGACACCGGCCATTTCGACTTTATTATTATTTTAATTGTTTTCCAATTAATTGTTCACAAAATTTTTTTAAACTGACTTCACTCCGAGTCACACTATATGTTTTTCACTTATTTAATTTGCTTTCTCTGCGTGGGACTGGGCCCATAACCTATTAAAACACGAGGGAGAGAAAAGCAAACACGAGCCACGGCGGTTTGAATTCATGTAACTTTATTGAAGTATAGAGTAGAGGTAAGTATGACAGAGAAGTAAATCAAAAAGGAAAACAAAAGTATTTGACATTTCATGTGGATCTTATAATTCGTAAACAAATGCAATTAGTGGATCTGCTTCGTAGTTAGTGGATCTGCTTCGCTGTTGTAACATTTTCACAAGAAATATTTTTTTTGGTTCAGAGGTCTTAAAAATATTTTCTGAAAAAAAGTCTCAAAAAGAAGATTTTTTTCACAAAAAAAAAAAAAAAAAAATATTTTTTTTTAAATTAGGGTTTTTATAAAAAATAAAAGAAATTCCTGCAGAAATGTTCTAAAAAATCCACGATCCTGTCAAAAAGTCCTTCAAAATATTTTACTAAAAATCTATAATAAGACTTAACAATATTTTCCTTAAAAAATCCAAAAAACTTTGTATTGTAAATATTTTAAAATATATTTTTACAAGAAATATATTTCTTGGTCTAGAGGTTTAAAAATATTTTCTGAAAAAAAATCTCAAAAAGAAAATTTTTTTCACAAAAAAAAAATAATTTTTTCAATTAGGGTTTTTATAAAAAATAAAAGAAATTCCTGCAGAAATGTTTTAAAAAATCCACGATCCTGTCAAAAAGTCCTTCAACATATTTTACTAAAAATCTATAATAAGACTTAAAAATCCAAAAAAACTTTATATTGGAAATATTTTAAAATATATTTTCACAAAAAAATATTTTTTGGTCTAGAGGTCTTAAAGATATTTTCTGAAAAAAATTCAAAAGGAAAATTTTTTTTCATAATTTTTTTTTTTCAATTAGGTTTTTTATAAAATTGTGTGGGAAACCACAATTTTTTGTTCTTAGACGAATTTTTAAAAAATCTAAAATTTTTGTAGAAATTCCTACGAAAATATTAAATTTTTGGCACTCATGAGGACGTATGATTTATATAATTTCAGAAATATAGATTATACGCAACATGGTTTCATTTATGGACCAGCAAAATTCTATAAAATGCCTTTATCCTACGGAAAAAAGGTTTTGAATGAAAAATTACTTTGATAAGTCTTAAAAAAAATATTTTAAAAGAATCACTTTGATTTAAAAAAAAAAAAAAAAAAAAAATATTTCCGAAAAATCCTTGTTTATTAGTTCACAAAAAAAAATATTTTTTAAAAATCCCCGTTGATTGCACCGTGGAAAAAATATTTTTTGAGAAATCTCTTCAAGTTGTCATCCTTGGAAAAAATATTCTTTAAAAATCCGCGTTGATTGGTCTTTGGAGAATATATTCTTTAAAAAAATGATCCATGTTTTCAACCACGGAAAAATATATTTTTTTTAAATCCGCGTTGATTGGTCCTTGGAGCAATATTATTTAAGTAATTCATCCATGTATTCATTCTTGAAAAAATATATTTTTTAAAAATCCACGTTGATTTTTAGGAAATCTACGTTGAATGGTCTTTGGAAAAATATTATTTCAAAATCAACGTTGATTGGCCCTGAGAAAAAATATTTTCTAAGAAAACCATTCTTTAAAAAACTACGTTGATTTGTAAAATATATTTCTTAGAACTCCACGTTGAATTGGAAATAATATTCCTTAAGAAATCTATTCATGTGTTCATCCTTGGAAAAAATATTCTTTAAAAATTCACGTTGATTGCTCTTTCGAAAAAATATTTTTCCTTGCAAGGATTTTATAAAATATCCTAAGGAAAATATTCAATTTTTGGCACTCCTGAGGACGTATGATTTATATAATTTTAAAAATATTGATTATACGCAACATGGTTTCAATACTGGCAAGCAAAAGACTATTAAATGATTAAAAAGGCATATAGTTTCCGAAAAATCCTTTTTGAAAAATATTGTTACAAAATCCACTTTGATTGGTCCTTGGAAAAACTTTTTTTCCTTGAAAAAAAAACAATTTTTTTATGGAATCCATCCACGCTTCATCCTTGGAAAAAAATATTCTTTATAAAAATATTCTGCACTGATTGGTCCTTGGAAAAAACATTTTTTAAAAATCCACGTTAATTGGTTCTTGGAAAAATATCCTTCAACAAATCCATCTATGTTTTCACCCTTGGAAAAAATGTTCTTTGAAAATCCTTGGAAAAACTATTTTTTTTTATAAAATCCATACATGTTTTTACATCCTTGAAAAAATATTTTTTAAAAATCCTGGGAAAAAAATATTCTTTAAAAAAAATCATCAATGTTTTCATCCTTAGAAAAAAACATGTACTAAAAAATTCATCTAAGTTTTCATTCTTGGGAAAAATATTTTTAAGAAATCCATCAATGTTTTTACATCCTGGGAAAAAATATTCTTTAATTGGTTCTTGAAAAAATATTCTAAATATTTCTAAGAAATCCATTCATGTTTTCATCCTTGCAAAAAAATAATCTTTAAAAATCCACGATGATTGATCTTTGAAAAAAAAAATATTTTTAAGAAATCCATCCATGTTTTCATTTTCATCTTTTCTTTAAAAATCCTCGTTGATTGGTCCTCGAAAAAAATATTATTTAAAAAATCCACTTTGATTGGTCCTTGGAAAAAATAGTCTTTAAAAAATCCACGTTGATTGGTCCTTGGAAAAAAAGTCTTTAAAAAATCCACGTTGATTGTCCTTTGAAAAAAAATATTGGGATAATATTCTAGAAATCCTTCAACAAATACAATTTTTCGCCTGGAAGTCCTAAAAACTTAATTAACATCTTTGGTTCCTCAAAAATGTCCTTAAAACAAAAATATTCATGTCCAGCAGCCCTTTAAAAATCACTTTTCTTGTGGAAGGAAGTTGGGACGTACTTGAAAAAATATTATTAAAACATGTCAGCCGGGAAGTACTTTTAAGTTATATTAAAAATTTAGGATTGCTAGCCAGAAGATATTTTAGAAAAAATAACCTAGGAAAGGATGTCTTCCACAATTCCATATTTTTTGATCAGAAAGTCCCTAATCAAATATTCTTCAAAAAAAAAAAATACATTCTAGAGCTGGATTCCTGTTCTAAGAAAGTAATATTGTTTTTTTTTTAATCCTTAATTTGGCATTTCCTTCTTCATAGAACAAAAACTTGAGATCCTGGTAAAGGCTTTGATTAAAATGGATTTCAAATGGAAATGGACGGATTATACGAGGTACGTGATTTTTCATCGAAAAAGTTCAACCCCTAAAAGGGAGCTATTTATAAAATCTTGGCATTAAAAAATCTTTTAATATTAAACGCTTGTACGCCAAGATATAAGAAGGTATAAAACTACTTAATTTACATTCGGTAGAAGCATTGGAAAGTTCGACATTAGGAAAAATCGGGGCCAATGCCACCTTTTATGACAGTTATGACCACTTGTGGCACAAGAAAAAGTGGACCTATGAATTTGAATTGCATACTTGATTTAATAATGAAAAACATATTGGAATGCGGACTATAAGAAAAATCATACCTTCGAAACCCCCACCCACCCAAAAAATTCAGCTTTCCGTTCAAATTACCAATAATTGCGAGGAATTTTTCGAAGCCAGGACCCACATTGAATATTTTGTCTACTACCATTTAGAATTTAAAATATCAAATTTAGGAAACCTTGGCAGGACAATGTCTAAAAAATACCTAAATTTCTCTCGCTGACGCATAATCGAAAGGGCCGTCGATATTTAAATAAAATTGTATTGAAATAGACAGCTTTAAGTCTCATTTATAATCTAAAATTTGAATAATAATAAAGGCAAATACCAAAAATTCCATTGGTCCCACGATTAACTGTTTCAAAACTAAAGACATTAAAAAAATATTCCTCCCTCAAAAACTTACCCGAATGACTCGCCTCCCGAATCAGGTCATTTATGATTTCATCTCGCACATTTATGCCCAAATTTTTCAGCATAAACTGGAGTTCGTTTGCTGTAACACGGCCATCACGATTTCTGTCTAATAAATCAAAAGCTGTGCGTAGATCTGGAAGAAAAAAAAAAGAGAAGGACATTAGCAAAACATGGAAAATTGGGAAAATAACAAATTTATGTTAACATTTTTGTTGTTGTTGTTAATAGACGTTTCATGGACGTGTTTGTTTTACAAAACAACAAAAAGCAAATGAATAATAAATGTTGTTGTGGTTAAAAGGCAAGTGTCAATGAAGAAAATAAAACAGCTTGTTTTGTGGTATGATTAATATTTATTAGGTCAATAAATGTTGAGCATACGCAGTGTGGTGCAGAATTGAAATGAGATTTTTTTTATGAAGGATAATAATATACTACGCCGAATGTTTTGTTGCAGATAATGTGTGAAGAGCAAACAGCAATATGGTGTGCATGAGGGCGTATGATTTACGTCGTTAGAAATAGCAATGTTGCTCATACGCAACAGGGGGGGGGTCTATGAACTGGATTTTATTTTATAAAATATAAAATATTGAATATTTGAATATTTTAAGGGAAAAACACGTTGTTGGCCTATGGGTCCTTAAAAAAACATTTTATAAAAAATCAACGTTCAAAAAATCCTTTACATAATGTTTGTGTGAGAGTGGGTATATTATCCTTAATATATGTGTATATGTATGTATTGCCTGCATGGATAATTTTTCTATTTATTTTTTTTTTTTTGTTTTTATTTTCCATTATTTTATTTTTTTTATTTTCGTACAGCTGACACACGATTAATTAAATTTCTATGTTAACATTCGAGTATTTCTGATTGTGATTTACACACATTTATCGCACAAAAAGGATGTTGCTGGCTTCAGGCGATAGTGTTAATCATGGAAGATTATCTTTCAAGGACAATAAGGATCTCAAATTAATAAAATAAACAAATTAAGAAAGGAGTAACCAAGGCGGGTTTTTACAAATATTTTTTCGAAGACCAACGCAGATTCTTTAAAGAATATTTTTTCAAGGACCAAATAAACGTGGATTTTTTAAAGAATATTTTTTCAAGGACCAAAAGAAACGTGGATTTTTTAAACAATATTTTTTCAAAGACCAAAAGAAACGTGGATTTTTAAAGAATATTTTTTCAAGGACCAAAAGAAACGTGGATTTTTTAAAGAATATTTTTTCAAGGACCAAAAGAAACATGGATTTTAAAAAAATATTTTTTTCAAGGAAAGGATCAATAAACTTGGATTTTTTAAAGAATATTTTTTTTCAAAGACCAAAAGAAACGTGGATTTTTTGAAGAATAATTTTTTAAGGACCAACAGACGTGGATTTTTTAAAGAATATTTTTTCAAGGACCAAAAGAAACCTGCATTTTTTAAAGAATATTTTTTCAAGGACCAAAAGAAACCTGCATTTTTTAAAGAATATTTTTTCAAGGACCAAAAGAAACCTGCATTTTTTAAAGAATATTTTTTCAAGGACCAAAAGAAACGTGGATTTTTTAAAGAATATTTTTTCAAGGACCAACAGACGTGGATTTTTTAAAGAATATTTTTTCAAGGACCAAAAGGAACGTGGATTTTTTAAAGAATATTTTTTTCAAGGACCAAAAGGAACGTGGATTTTTTAAAGAATATTTTTTTCAAGGACCAAAAGGAACGTGGATTTTTTAAAGAATATTTTTTTCAAGGACCAAAAGGAACGTGGATTTTTTAAAGAATATTTTTTTCAAGGACCAAAAGGAACGTGGATTTTTTAAAGAATATTTTTTTCAAGGACCAAAAGGAACGTGGATTTTTTAAAGAATATTTTTTTCAAGGACCAAAAGGAACGTGGATTTTTTAAAGAATATTTTTTTCAAGGACCAAAAGGAACGTGGATTTTTTAAAGAATATTTTTTTCAAGGACCAAAAGGAACGTGGATTTTTTAAAGAATATTTTTTTCAAGGACCAAAAGGAACGTGGATTTTTTAAAGAATATTTTTTTCAAGGACCAAAAGGAACGTGGATTTTTTAAAGAATATTTTTTTCAAGGACCAAAAGGAACGTGGATTTTTTAAAGAATATTTTTTTCAAGGACCAAAAGGAACGTGGATTTTTTAAAGAATATTTTTTTCAAGGACCAAAAGGAACGTGGATTTTTTAAAGAATATTTTTTTCAAGGACCAAAAGGAACGTGGATTTTTAAAGAATATTTTTTTCAAGGACCAAAAGGAACGTGGATTTTTTAAAGAATATTTTTTTCAAGGACCAAAAGAAACGTGGATTTTTTAAAGAATATTTTTTTCAAGGACCAAAAGGAACGTGGATTTTTTAAAGAATATTTTTTTCAAGGACCAAAAGACGTGGATTTTTTAAAGAATATTTTTTTAAGGACCAACAGACGTGGATTTTTTAAAGAATACTTTTTCACGGGCCAAAAGAAACGTGGATTTTTTAAACAATATTTTTTCAAGGACCAAAAGAAACGTGGATTTTTTAAAGAATATTTTTTCAAGGACCAAAAGAAACGTGGATTTTTTAAAGAATACTTTTTCAAGGACCAAAAGAAACGTGGATTTTTTAAAGAATATTTTTTCAAGGACCAAAAGAAACGTGGATTTTTTAAAGAATATTTTTTCAAGGACCAAAAGAAACGTGGATTTTTTAAAGAATATTTTTTCAAGGACCAAAAGAAACGTGGATTTTTTAAGGAATATTTTTTCAAGGACCAACTAAACGTGGATTTTTTAAAGAATATTTTTTTCAAGGACCAACTAAACGTGGATTTTTTAAAGAATATTTTTTTCAAGGACCAACTAAACGTGGATTTTTTAAAGAATATTTTTTTCAAGGACCAACTAAACGTGGATTTTTTAAAGAATATTTTTTTCAAGGACCAAATAAACTTGGATTTTTTTAAAGAATATTTTTTCAAGGACGAAATAAACGTGGATTTTTTAAAGAATATTTTTTCAAGGACCAACAGACGTGGATTTTTCAAAGAATATTTTTTTTCAAGGACCAAATAAACGTGGATTTTTTTAAAGAATATTTTTTCAAGGACGAAATATACGTGGATTTTTTAAAGAATATTTTTTCAAGGACGAAATAAACGTGGATTTTTTAAAGAATATTTTTTTCAAGGACCAATAGATCAAAAAACCTGGATTTTTTAAAGAATATTTTTTTCAAGGACCAAAAAACCGTGGATTTTTTAAAGATTTTTTTAAGGACAACAGATGTGGACTTTTTAAAGAAAATTTTTTCAAGGACCAAATAAACGTGGATTTTTTAAGGAATATTTTTTTAAGGACCAACTAAACGTGGATTTTTTAAAGAATATTTTTTTCAAGGACCAACTAAACGTGGATTTTTTAAAGAATATTTTTTTCAAGGACCAACTAAACGTGGATTTTTTAAAGAATATTTTTTCAAGGACAAAAAGAAACGTGGATTTTTTAAAGAATATTCTTTTCAAGGACCAAATAAAAGTGGATTTTTTAAAGAATATTCTTTTCAAGGACCAAATAACGTGGATTTTTTAAAGAACATTTTTCAAGGACCAAAAGAAACGTGGATTTTTTAAAGAATATTTTTTCAAGGACCAAAAGAAACGTGGATTTTTTTAAAGAATATTTTTTTCAAGGGCCAAAAAGAACGTGGATTTTTTAAAGAATATTTTTTCAAGGACCAAAGAAACGTGGATTTTTTAAAGAATATTTTTTCAAGGACCAAAGAAACGTGGATTTTTTAAAAAATATTTTTTCAAGGACCAAAAGAAACGTGGATTTTTTTAAGAATATTTTTTCAAGGACCAAAAGAAACGTGGATTTTTTAAAGAATATTTTTTCAAGGACCAAAAGAAACGTGGATTTTTTAAAGAATATTTTTTTTCAAGGACCAAGTAAACGCGGATTTTTTAAAGAATATTTATTTTTTAAAATATATTTATTGTTCAAGGACCAAATAACATGGATTTTTTGAAGAAAATTTTTTCAAGGATTAACATTTATTTTTTCAAGGACCATTAGAGACGTGTATTTTTTTTTAAATATTTTTTAATGTCTAAAAATCAATGCGAAAAATACCAAATATATACCTATGTTGAAAAATTTCTTTAAAATGATTTTCTATTCCCAAACTAGCCTAAATAGCCAAATCGAGTGGAAAATATGGCCAAGACCCTCGAAACGAGTAAAACCACGATGCCTTAGAAACCACGATACCAAACAAGGGTCAGACTAAGTGAAAAACGAGGCCAAGTCTCCGGAAATAGCTAAAATCAGGGGAATACCTGCATATGAGGGTTGTACCAAAACGTGGGCCTAAATTGATAAAAATTACTAAAATTCGTTTGTTGATGATCGACGAGGAGCAACTTCCGATGCATTTCATATCAAATTATTTTCAAAATCTTTTCTTTAGAAATTTCTTTTTGATTGGTGCTAAGCGGATTTGTTTCCAAAGAACTTTGGATGATTCCCGAGAATATTCGCTTTTCCCATTAAATGCAAAAATCCCGTGGTTTATCGTCTCAACTCAAATGCCCTCCTAGTTTTCCACTTATTTTTCCGTGTGAATAGAAGAAAACTTGTAATAAAAAGGAAAACAATTTCCTTAGTTTCCAGTTTTCTTTTATTTTTTGCTTCTGCAGGATTCATTTCGTTGCCGGTTTCATTTTTTCTTCCTCTGAAAAGAAATTCATTTTATTACAAAAAATGTCAATTTTCTTTGGGTTACTACTTTGGTGTTGGTGCAAATGCCGACCTTTAGCCAATGAATGATAAAGTTACTGTTTTCAAGGGAGGGGAGAGAGAGGGAGAGAAAGACCTTACTACGACGCAATGAAATGTGGAAGGAATAAAATTACTTTACTTTGTTGTGGGCGATGAAAGTGGAAAATAGTTAGAAAAAAGAGAAAAAGCGGTTTCAATTTTCTTTTATAGTTTTCGTTTTTATGGTTTCCCAGCCAGCCGCCTTAGATGTGAAGATATGCATGGGGGGTGGACTGGCTCTAAATGAAATGACATCGAAGGGCAAATTGTGGTACGGATCAAGATCTGGAGCAATTTAAGTGGCTACTAAGAA